AGGGGAGGAAGATTTTCATTGAAGCCCTTCTCTTTGAACAAAGCCTTTGAAAGGGACAGAACTGGAATGCCTCTTCCCAACTCAGAAGAAGACAGGACTGTCCAAACCTTGGACTCAGCTGAACTGAGACTGGAATCCCAGCAAGAGGCTGAGATCTCAGATGCTCCTTAAGTCGGCTGGGAAAACAGGGAAAAAGGAACCCCAGAAACAGAAGAGAAACAGTTTGGTCTAGTGGTTAAGGCACTGGGCTAGAAAAAAATAGTAGGAAGGTGTGTTGGATATGTTTACAGCCCTGAGTTATTTGTGAAAATAATAAAGTCAGGTAATAAATAAATGAATATATAAATAAATAAGCAAGCAGCAAGTAAGCAAACAAGTTAGCTAGCTCCCCAAAGGGAGACACATGGGAGAAATTGACCCATCTTTCAATCACCCAGAAAGGGATACTTACTGAGAAATGCCAGAATCCCAGAAATTGCACACACCAAGATAACGCCAGCCACACTAACACCGATGATAAGCCCCAGACTGGAACTGGATCCTGGAACTGTATTGGGAGAAAGAACAAATCACTCCAGGGGAACCACAAAATATCTATTTATTGGAGGAAAAGATCTCAAACAGTGAGAAAGATAAGGGGTCTACCAAGTTAAGAAATGTCAGATGTCTTTACGTCATAGGAGACATATAGAATAGAGTAGAGTAGAGTAGAGTAGAGTAGAGTAGAGTAGAGTAGAATAGAATAGAATAGAATAGAATAGAATAGAATAGAATAGAATAGAATAGATGGAAACTGATCAAAGAGAGAAGGAACCTATATCTAAGAAGAAAGAATAATTAATCAGTGGAACAACCTGCCTCCAGAAGTTGTATATGCTCCAACACTGGAAGTTTTTAAGAAGAGACTGGACAACCATCTGTCTGTAAAGGTATTGGGTTTCCTGCCTGAGCAGGGATTGGACTAGAAGACCTCCAAGGTCCCTTCCAACTCTACTACTACTATTTATTATTGTTGTTGTTATTATTATTATATATCTGCGCACAATTTCTCTCCCATAATCCTCCAGCTGTAAAAAGAGCCCAGCCTTTCCCTCCCTGCAGCCTCTCACCCTTCAGGGCCAGGTCCAGAGGTTGCTGCAAGCCATCGTGCTCCACATGGCACCGATAGCGGCCCCTCTCCTTGGGATCGATCTGGATTCCGAGCGAGTAATAGTAGGTCCCATCTGAGTTGGGGGCCAGAGACTCATGGAAGGTGTCTTGCAGCCAGAATTCCCCATCCCTCGTCCAGGAGGCATCGATCTCCCTGGGGTAGAAGCCGTGGATTCGGCAGACGTGCCTCTCCATACCATCAGCTT